GTGGATTAAACACTTTCTGATACCTTAATAATGCTCAATAGTGTGACATTATTTTAAAGTGCTACTTATTAATGTATTTTTTAAAAGAAAAAAATGGATTGATCTTGATTTCTTTATAGCTGTGAAATGAGATGATATGCAGCTGTACCTTTATAAAGAAGAAAAGCATTAAGGACCGTCTGCAGGATGAGGTAAATAACTATGACATGAAAACACCGTAGTTTCCTGGGCCTGGATGACTTCAGATCTGAAACACAAACAGGGTTATGTGATCAATCTCTCACACCAAGATTACTTCTTCAAATTGTCACTTCAGGACACACAAATTCAGCTATTACAAATATTTGTCTACATTTGCCAAGCAAAAAGCAAGAAACCATATATATATATATACACACACACAAGTGAATCACTAACATTTAACCAAATGTTTTCAAGTTGTTCTGCAAATAAATCAGTCAAGCAATAAATAAATCAATAAAATAATGCCAGTATATACACTGCACAAACCAAATACAGGAATACAAGGATAATACACAGTTTCTATTTCTAGGCTGTCATCAAAGCAGGAGTTTGTATTCAGGCATTTAGTACTCAAATTACTACTACTGAGTACAAATGTTGAGTTTGAGAAAAGCAGAGGAGAAAGAGAGAAATAAAGAGATAATTTTTTATGCATGTTTAAAACATCAGTATTTTAAAAGCTCTGTTGATTGGACCATAAGATGCTTTTGCATAGTTGGCATATGAGGAGCGGTTTTGAGTGAATTTTCATTCATGTCATTTTCTTTATTTCGTTTTTTAAATTTCAATCGTGGAAAACCTCTTAATGAGCAAACCTGCTGTCACTGAAAGAAAATATGAAACACTGGCACCACCTGCTGGTAAAGGTTGCCGTCTCACTCTGTCCCAGGTTTAAGAATGACAGCCACTGTAGTACTGACAGTAGTCAGTACTACAGTGGGCCACAGACCGGTACTGGGCTGTGAGTCATTTGTCACCAGGCTGCGAGAGTTGAGTGAAATTTATGGTTTTCGGGGTTTTAATCGTTAACTCGGTTTCCCTGGGTCTTTTCCCGTGTTGTTGTTGTGCGTCTTATTTTGAAAGAAATATTTCCGCGTTACCATAGTGACCAAAGGGCATTAAGGGGCAGAGAGGAGGATGTTACTCTCAATGCTGTTGGTGCATTTCAGCAGGACGCTGCTAATAAAATTACACAATTACACAATTTGCGTTTATTATTATATTTACAAAATACCACAGTTTTTGTCTCGGTCGTATCATTTTATTTTGTTGTATTTATCCATGACACCTTGAAGGCCGGTCCGTGAATATATTGTTAGACATTAAACCGGTCCGTGGAACAAAAAAGGTTGGGGACCGGTGCTTTAAAACACAAGTACATATGTATGTAATAAATAATAATAATAATAATAATAATAATAATAATAACAACAACAGTAGATAATAACATTAGACAGATTTTTGATTTAGAGTGGGTGTAAAATGGGTTTTGTTGCAGTTTTCAAACTGTAAATTGTAAATTTTAACTGTTATTGATCCTTTTATCTTTGTCTTTAAGTGTATATTTATTTCTCTTCTTATATTTATTGTTTGTCTTTTGCACTGAGTGGAACCGGAGCCTCGCCTCGTCTCTCTATATACTGTACTGTATATAGTAGAGATGACAATAAAGTTTACTTACGAGCACTAGAAGCAACAGAGTCTTACATTTGTCACTGCAGTCCCCAGAATTAATTCACATTGAATCAAATCATTTTTCTCTTGCCAGTATTCAGGTTACTTCTGTGTTTTTCAGAGTCCCACAGCTGTTTTTTTAGATGATTTGTTTGCTCTTTGAACTGCTCTATATTCAGTTGAGTCATTATGTCGTTCCTTTTTGTTTCAGGAGTCTTAATAAACTCTCTCCCAAGACGAAACAGCCAACAAAACACTCAATATTGTTTTGTCTGTTGTCAACAGCAGCTTTTGTTTGTTTGCTTTTTTACCTGCTCAGGCAGCTGCCGTAAAAAACTTAAGGAAGCTGATTTTTTTGTTAAGCCTGTGCCACTTAACTCCACTGTTCATGTTTTTATTCAGTCTAAACTTTTCTTAGGTCGCATCGAGGTTGAAATTGGTTTTCACGATGGTTCAGTGTTTCTTACTTTACGAGAAATTTTTGGTTACTATTGCAAATTGAAAAATTGTTTTTGTTAAACGATACTATGTTTCCAGTGAGGTTTTTTTTCAGGTTGTATATGGATTATTCAAACGTTACAACCTACCAGGAAGAAAATATTATCTCTTAATTGGCATTTCCATCTTTAGAGACCGTTGATGGTCAGTTAAGGGTTTAGAGGATAAGTTTAGGCACATTTTCAGAAACGACAGCACCAAAGGTTTGAAATTAAAAAGTAAAACAATCAGGGATTCAGGCCGTCACGTTCATTGTAACATGATAAATGTTACAGATAACTATTTTCCAAATCTCAACACAGTTTCTATGAAAGAAGTAACACTCACTGTCTTAGCACTCACCATCAGGCTGAAGGCTGTAGAGATCACTCCTGCTGAGTGACATGTCAAACAGTGGGTTACTCTGAGTGTATGTCACCTCATTCCTTGTCCTGTTCATCGCCGTCTCCATTCTTCCTATAGCCCCGAATCACCTTCACTTCCTACTTGGGAGCCTCTTTTAACATATGCAGTATGTAAAAGATGACACTTCTTCCCCAGATTGCAACAGAAGCTCTGTACCAAAGAGCTCACACGAGAACCGACTGAAAGAGAGGAAGTAAAAGTACCTGATTTGTTGCTGAGTTGACTAAAATATTGCAGCTGACATTTATTTAGCGTTACTGCTAAACAAAATGAGGAAGCTGGTGAGGTCTTACAAAACCATAACGGAAGTTGCAATTTTCTTGTCCAAGTTCTGGCCACTTTTACTCTTTTACAATGCAAAAAATATCGGAAAGTTATGAAAATATTGGTTTGCAATAACGTACATACCCTACAGCAACAAGGTCTTAATACCCAGCCAATCACATAAAGTCTTATTTTGTCCTCTGGCTTTGATTTCCTGTGTACAATGTTTACATTACCCTGAGTAATTTACCCACTCAGACTCTACATGATGTACAGATCATACATGACATACAAATATTTGAAAAGTTGTGATAAATAGAACAAAATAATATTTGCAAATATATAAATGTGTGTGTGTTTGTGTGTGTGTTTGTTTGTGTGTTTGTGTGTGTGTTTGTTTGTGTGTTTACAAAGATCTGTCTGTCAGTCTCTTCCCCACTTGGAGCGATCAATCATCCCACAGTAAGCACTTGTGGCAGAGGTGTGGTCCCTGGCTCAGCTGCAGGGGAGAGATGGTGCAGTGAGTTTGAGGGGGCGGAGCCAGCTGAGGCCACAGGTCATGATGATCTGTGAAGTGAAGCCAGAGACCGGAGCGAGAGGAGTGTGTGTGCTGAGACCCGTCTGCAAAGCTGGTGAATCGGGTGTTGAACAGAGAGACACAGCATGTGTGAAACCACAATAAATATTTAACCAAAGAGAGGTGCAGCCTGCATTGATGAGTTATCAAGGTACCATTAACATCAGTTAGTTAGTCCTGCTTCACACTGAGATATGCACACAACTCTGTCACCAGACCTGAAAAGACAAGGACACGGCAAACATGCGGTCACATTGTCTGCTAAACCTAGCCTAGCTAAATAGATTTTAAGCAGTAGCTAGTGTGGACAGGCTAGCTCAATGTTAGAAAGTGTTTATGGATTAAGTTATACACAGTTCACATAAAGTTACCATAAACAGCCTCTTCTTCTTCCACATGTTATGTTTCATATTAGTAAAGGTTTTTTCTGTAGGTGGCCAAGATGATGATAAAAGTAAAACACAGAGAGACAAAGAAATACGTCAAATTGGAAGAAGTCAGCTTCACAGATTTTATGAGTGCAGGTAAGTTATACACGGTTTGTAATAAGTCATTAAAGAGGAAATGATAATGTTGTTATTAACTAAGTGATGATTTTACTTCAGTGCAGCAGAAGTTTCTCATACCAGAAAATGCAGCTCTGAAAGTCACGGATGAGCAGCCTATAGAGGTGGATGAGGATGTCTTCCCTGAACTTGCAGCAGTCAAAGAGGTTTTGTCATCTATACAGCTGAAGGTAAGTAAATATATGCTCTGATAGATTTTGTAGGATTTGATTTGTACAGTTACTCCTAAATAAATATTTTTAATTCGTCTAATATCCTGTGGTAACAATCACAAAACGCTGCTTTCATGGCTCAACAGTAAGTTGGATTTATCACATGCATTTCAGACGTCCAGGAAACACAATCATCCAAGAAGCTGCGTGACTGCTCAGACCTAACACACTGTGTGACACACACACCTTATGGTATGTAAATTGTATATTACCATAATAAAATACAAAATAACCATCTGTTCTCCTGGGAGAAAGTATAATTTAATCAAAGCGTGCAGTTTACTGGCCCTGTCTGCGTAAATGCTTTGTTGTGGTTGATTTTTGATTGTATGTACCTTATATTCTAATATTTATGTTTGTCACCCTCAGATTTGACTGTCCTGAAGCAACATGTGGAAGAAGCCTCTATTGGACACCATACATGCAAGAAATGTAGATACATTACTTAATAGACTTGTCCTTGACTCTTTAGTTGTCATTACTTGAAAAAGCTTAAACACGAAGATAAAACAGATTAGAGAAAAATAATTTGATATAGTATTTCATGTAGTTCATATGTTTGGGTTAAAATTGTCTATTTTTGTCAATTGTTTTGTTCTTTGTATAAAATGTGTTTAGACAGTGGAGCAGATTCTGACTGTCATCCATGAGTATGAAAAAACTGAGAGTTTGAAAGATTCCACCAGGCGATTAATGGTGAACGTCATTGTAGCTCACATGCGTGAAAAGGAAGGGTAAGAGGAATGTTTATTCTATTCATTTTTAAAACTGGCAAGGATCTTATCACAAAAACACTTCTGATTTTGCAGGAGAACTGTAAGTAAAGCAACAAAGGAGTTTCATGCACTTGGAATCGTGTCACTCTTCCCACTTTTGAAGGATCCGTACTCCAAAAAGGGATATGTGAGTTTGCTCTGCAACTGTAGTGTGTAATAAGACTTGCTCTCTCTCTCTCTCTCTGTCGCTCTCCCTACACATATACAGTGGCGGTCCTAGCCTGTTTGGCGCCCTGGGCGAACACTCTCTGGCGCCCCCCCCACACACACACAGACAAAACATATTAAGGATTGTACATTAACATGAAGCTGTTGTACACACACACACATATGAAGAGAGAGAGAGTATGCAAACGGCTACCAAACAGCCATCATAATTCGTCATACAATGAGAACAGGACAAATCAACAACTGACAATGACTAATTAATATTAAAATCTGTAACATATTGTTTGGAGTTTAGTCTGTTACTGTTGCTATTTTTACCATTTCTTCTTGGAGCAACTGTAACCCACATAATTTCCTTAGGGATTAATAAAGTATTCTGATTCTGATTGTTTCAGGATGACCTGCCATTATCCAATCACACATCTGCTTACCTGTATCTTTTGCTCATTTCTCCTCCTCTTCTTTTCTCTTTTGTCTAAACTGAGCACCTGATGGCTTTGAACTTTTCTTGTCCATCTTCCATTGGTTTTAATTTTGCACTCCAGTATGAACACCCATCCCTCAACCCAAGGATCACCACTTCGTTTTCAGTGTGAAATATGAAGACGCTCTGTCCAGCCTGTACACATTTTTGCAGACCACTGTGTACAATATTGATGTAGGCACAACAGTGGAAAGTCCAAGAGTCAAAGAGTTGCGAGCAAAGCTGTTGAATAAGTAGTAATTAGCAGTTATGCATTCAAAATGTTGACCTGTTTTCTCTCTGCTTTATCTTTTGGTACAGCTTTACTTTTGTTCAGACATTTAAAACTAGTTCATTGAATGTATCCTGGCAAAAATGTGAAACTAAAATGTGGTCAGATAGGATGTTGTTTACAATTCTCAAGTTATTCTGGATTTAGAAGACATCTGAATAAGATACATGCTACTGTTAGCACATGTGTTCCTCATGAGATCCCTTCGGACCATGATACCCAACAGTTTAGTAGTTCTCAGTGCTTAAATGATGAAACACCATCCACATCATCTCTGTCACAATACGGCTGCGTGCAGGCAAAAGTAGGACCCAAACGCAAACTCGCAGAGACAAGTGGAGTGGGACACGAAAAACAATACAAAACTAAACTGGGAAAACTAAAGCACAAGGAGCCACAGGGAAAAATCACACAGCTATGAGGGAGGACGCAACACTGACAAAGAGAAACATGGGGCTTAAATACACTGAGGGATAACGAGGGGGAATGAGCCACAGGAGGAGAGCACAGCTGGGAGTAATTAGGCAGGACGAGACAAGGGAAGCAAAACATTAACATTAACATAGGACAGACTGTGAAAGTAAAACAGGAAACACACTGACGGAACTCAAGACATGTAAACGTAACAGACTGGGGAGACAGAACATAGGGACCTGAAACATGGAACAGAAAGGCTGTATCTTCAGCCAGGAGAACAACTGAGATAATCCATCCACAATACGAGGTTAGTCATTCATATACTGCTGCATGGGCTGGGCTGTAGTTACATCCTAAGGGTTTAAAAACTGAGCTTAAATAAATGATTAGTGTTAATAAAAGCCGAGGGAGGTCAACAGTGATCACTGACTGTTTTAGGAGCTTTTTGAGATTAAATAGAAGAAAATACAAAACATTAAACATGTTAAACAACACAAAAGCATATTAAACGCAGACTACTTTAGGCCCGGAAGTAGGATTCGTCACGTCATCACTTAATAATCGGATTACGGCTATATGGAAAAGAAAAATAAACCAACGAATATTAACCTGGATCGTGCAGGGCATGGAATAGGTTTAAATGCATCACAAACACATACCTTTGATATTTGGTGACCAGGTCCAGAGGAAGATTTGCACTGGCATTTGTTGCTTTTGTTGTTGCACATTCTAAACATAGTTTTCTCATACTCTATCACTGAAGGAATGACTGTGTATTTAAAGCACCTGATTATTGAACAGGAACTATACCCATCAAACAACTTAATTCCAAAACATCATTTCATGGTCCACTATCCAAGGTGCATTCGAAAGATTGGTCCTCTCCTTCATATCTGGACCATGAGATTTGAAGCCAAACACAAATTTTTCAAAGACTGTGTTAAGAACTTTAAGAATTTCACTTGCAAGGAAACATCAGTTTGCATTAGCTTATCATTGGGAATGTATGAGTTTAAAAGCAGTTGAGTCTGGTCCAGTTAAAATGCGTTCACTTGAAACACAAAAATACTCAGAAATTATATCTCCATATCTTCACGCTGATTTACAGAACACTGTCAAACTCACAAACTGGGTAAAGTGTAGTGGAGTTGAATATCGTGTTGGGCTTTTTGTTTGCACAGGCACTTATGAAAACATGCCGGTTTTCAGCAAGATAACCTCGATCATTTTGCATGATGGTAAAGCTGTTTTTGTTATGGTTGAGCATGAAACGTGTTTCCATGATCATTTTCATGTTTTTCAGGTAAATGAAACCATTCCTAAGAAGATACTGGTCCTAGAACGGGAGAAATTAAGACATTTCAAATGTTTTGATGCCCAAATGTCATATGGGTGTGATTCACAAGTGTATGTT